AGTTTGTTTCTATAATACCACAACACCCATCACTTGGAGGGCAGGATCAAGAATGTATATCTGAACTTTGGAGTCGTATAGACAGTTTATTCTATAAAAGATTTAAAAAAATCAGAAGGATGGTTTTTCCGAGGCACAGGTTGTATGAGAAAACATAGCGGGTGATTGGAGGGTGACGCCTTTGCCTGGTTTACCAAGGAGTAACCAACTCCCCAGGCAACAAGTGTCGAGTTTGAACACTGCATTGTGTGTGTGCCTTTGGTCCGTAAGCATACCATCACACTAATCCTTAGGGGGTCATTCCCACTCAAGATGTTGGCTGGCAGCTGCTGAGCGATAGACCTTATAAATAGACCTTTTATCACTGAATTTATTATTCTCCATAAACGAAAACATCTAAAGCTGTAAAATGATTACTTTCAATCTTATTTGTTAAAGCCTTCATTCTTTGATTCACTGAAAATGAAATATAATCGTCATTTACATAAATAACATGGGTACAGTTTTTTTGGAGTGAAAGTTTTGGTAATGAGAGTCTAGGAAGTGAGACTACACCGTGCAGATAAGTTACTATCGTGACTCGGATGCGGAGCGGTAGATTTATCTGGTCTTTCGCGGTGTGAGGGCAGGGCTTGAGCAGAGATGAGAATGAAACTTCTGCACTACACGCCTAAGGAATACTCCAGCAAGTACTAGAAGTAGAACTACTGTACAACTGGTAAGTGTATTCCAAACCATCATATTTCTTATTTCGTTGTGCTACATCTTTTCAAAGATTGCATAGGATGGAGTGTATTTCAAACTTATGGGTGTGATGAGGCAGGTACTAGTAGAAGTTAAACATCCATTTATGTTTTCGCGCGAAAGGTAAATTACCAAGGGCGGGAACTCCGCTCCGTTAGGTAGTTGTAAACTGGAGTTTGATGTCAACATAAGACAAGGAGCCCTGTGTGCGTTAAGTATACAGACCATGCAAGAGGCTGGATCGACTTACATTAGCATGCGTTGCCAAAAACTTAAAACTCAAGTTTGATCATATCGAGATCAAAATGTGGACGAAAAAAAAACTCCCAAACGTCTTCATGTAATTGCCGTGAAAGTATGATTTAATATCATCTCCTTAATTATATCTGACTGCCAGAGCATCACGTTGATATATGTAGTGCAGCGTTGAATAATAATTGTCTGAGAAGTAACTATATATACATCTAAAGTTAGGAGGAAAGTGTTGACACTCCGATCTTGTCGTAATTTGGAGATTGAACCTGAACTTGTGGCAAGTCTGATTATGCAGACGACCATAATGAAATGTCTATGGAGTTTACTATGAATTATGTTTTCATGAACAGTTTATGAGTGTACACTTTCAAGGTCGTGCCAGGGGCTAGCCCGCCTGGGAATCAGAAGAATGCTTGAACTGCGATTGTGAACGCGGGCACTCCCTTGTGAAGGAGCACTTGCTTGCCTTGCACCTCCAGGGTTATCATGGACTTACTCCATGGTATATGAAGTTATGGCAATCATGAAAGTCAAAACCATTTTAAGCACAAATTGATTTCGTTAATATTTTTCATCGTGATTGATATGCCACTGTCATGCCCTCTGTTATGAATATAAACTTGTGTAAGTACATCATCTCTGTGAAATATTAGGCTAGATTATTTCAAAAGAGCATTCGCTTGTAATTTTCGCCTGTAGATGTAATTGAAATAAATAAAGTGTGTTAACTAATTGGAGCAGAAGATTTTCATATCAAGTGCATCGAGAACCGTGGCAGACTGGCAGAATTAGTGAAGGGTAAATCGCGTATAGCATAGATCACAGGAGGAATAATATTTTCAGAACCAAGAAGAAGAAGAAAAAAAACATATCGGGTCTTTGCACGCAGGTGTTCGTCACTACCTTGACAGCCATGGCTAAACAATGGACCTAGGTCCATGGCTAAGCTAGCCCTTTAACATTTTAATATCTGTTAACTTATTTTGGTACATGTTAAAAGAGAAAGCAAATTGGCGGGAATTATTGGGTCGCCTGTAATTCAAGGTTCGTGGCATTTCTCCTAACTGCATGTTCCCCATGTCACACCACGTCTTACTCCACATGACTCATTGAAAACAAACAATGCGAGATTTCATGTGGGCCTGCAATGTCTAGGGTTGGTGTGGATCAGGCGCGGATCCAGGATTTCTTAGGGGAGGGGGCCCAACTTTTTTTTTTTTGCTCCCGAAAATTTGAAAATCGCGCCGGCCGAAAAGTCGCTCAGTGGGGGGGGGGGGGGGGGTACAGAGCACAGTTTTTTTTTTTTTTTTTTTTTTTTTTTTGCTCCCGAAAATTTGAAAAACGCGCCGGCCAAAAATTCGCTCAGTGGGGGGGGGGGGGTAGTGAGCACATTTTTTTTTTTGATCCTCAAAAAAAATTCTATTTGCACCCCCCCCTTGAGCGCCAGGGGGGGGGCCCAACCCCCCAAAAAGGTAAAAATCACGTGATTTTACATGAATTTTTTCTCAAGGGGGGGGCCCGGGCCCCCCGGGCCCCCCCCCCCTGGATCCGCCACTGGTGTGGATATTGGTAAACACACTCAGCCCTTTAAAAGTGGCATTATATTCCTTTTGAACGATTAAAGGGCAGATGGAGTTATGTATCGAGTATAGGAAGGGGGCATGTGCTTCTCCAAAGGATGGAAATGTAAACAAACTCAATTAAAAAATAGGGGCGAACAGGCCCCCCCCCCCCGTGTTTGTTTATTCAGGCTTTAGTTTATTTTCGTATCCTCATCCAGGATAAATTATAGACGTACTGTATGGATGACGTAATGTTTCTTCAGGGATTTATATCTTACATGTTTGTATTCCATTTTTATTCTCAAAGAAAAAAATCATGGGTAGAATACTTTATTCGCTTCACTTCTACCGCCCGTTCTTCACAGGATATTACTTTGCCCCAGGCTTCAAGATGCAATTGAAGGAGGGAGGGGGCGGTCGCTTTTATTATATCTGCTGAGGGCCGGGCGAGAACTAAATTCAATCTCATGCATTATGGTTTTGATATAATTGTCATCACTAAACTTACGCGATTTAAAAAAAAAAATGTTTTGTTTTGTTGCAATTACGTTTTAAAAATGGATTTCATTCGTAACAAATAATGTTAAAAAAGTAATATTTAAGTTAAAACGAAGAAAATATTTCTAGTTTTCTACCTTGAAATCTAGCCACAGACGTTGACCATACGTAATTCTTACTAGCAGAAACATGGTCAGTAATGTGAAATGTGCAAGGAACAAAGTGGATGGGATGGGTGTGGCCACAGGTGTTCTAGACTGCTCATTTCCTCATTTATCATTATGGACGTTTGCCATTTGCGTTCCACACGAAACTAAACATTAATGTATTTTTACGTAATTTCCCCTACCAATTTTACCAGCTCATTGGGCTCAATATTACATGGCCTACATTACATACATTTTGATATCTTCGCTGTATTTCGTGCCATTATGTCGGTTGATTCGGCTCTTCGACGTTCTCATCACCACCCGAACTCCATCTCCCCGAGGCACTAGGGCATCTTTCTCTTGTATTTACCGAGCGTGGTGAAGATGTGTGGTATGTCATCTCATGCTCAATACTGACATGATATACAGGCACGGTGTCGTTTATTGACAATGATCAAAGATTTACTGACGAGATGGATTTTCTTATTTTGGAGCCGACATTATCCTCCGGAGAAACTTCATACTTAGTTCAGACTCAGTCGAGATTCAGTCCCACATGGTTCGGATACAGATTAGAAGGTCAATGTATCATATAAACACAAGTCATCAACATTGCAATATACTACGTAAAGTTTTGATTTCGTGTATAATCCCTTTCCATCTTCACATATTTAGTTGTTTATACCAGGCTTACTTTATTTAGGCCGACCATGGAGGAACAGCTAGGATGAAATGACGAAACGTTGATTAACAACAATGGAGGAAAAGGAACAAATATAAAAGTTTAAAAAAAGAAGAAGTAAAGAACGAAGAAATATGAAGTGTGGGAGACGAAACTAGACTATAAAACAAATTTTTCAAGTTAGAAGGGCATGGAAGAATGAAGTTTGCAACGAACGAATACTAATGTGGCTCCGAGTAATGGAGTTCATCTTTCATGATTCTCTACTTTGGTTTGACTTTGGCAGACGGAAGTCAAATGAAAATTACTTGTAAGTTGTACAGTAAAACCCTATCTAATTTTACAGCGGATGAATCGTCCAGATATTAAACGGTTGCTGACTCATGCTTTAAAAATGGTGATAACGAGGCCAAGTGAAATCCTATATAGCCACTCTATCGAACCACCTCGTATCATTTCTCTTTTATTCCCCGAGCTCGGTGAAGATGTGCAATAAGAAAGTTGAAAAACAATGAGACAGGAATCATAATATTGAACTTGTGTGGAATTTGAAATAAATGTGAGAAGGATAATATGGGAAGGACCCTTGGGTAGCTGTTATAGCTCGTTTCATATTTACCTAGAGTCTGGATTTCTACATTGAATTTTATAAAGGCGATACATCACCGCCTTTATAATAGATGTAGGTAGGTTACCCACACAGTTATACTGGTCTGGATGTAGTATAGAAATCAAAGTTTTATAACTTTCATCCCACTTCTACTTGTTTGTTATCTAGGGTACTAAAAGGGGACCAGTAATCAGTAATATTTTGCTATTTTGTGGGGAAAAAGAAGTTCACATTAAAAGTATATATGCAAAAATTAACAAGAAATGATGCAATCACAAATCTGATATATTCCATTTATGCAGCATACTCCTGAATACTATCTAACTATCTATGAATCAAATTTATTGCTCTCTTTAACGGTAAGAAATGAAATCACTACAGAATTCACGATGTTAATTGAAATCTTTCACACGAAAAGCATAACCAGGATGCCTCATCGAATCACAGTTCTAATATAATCATGTGTGCCAATTATTTTTATGTTTCTCACATCAGATCCAATTCATCAAGTGTCGGTCATCTCAACATAAAATTTAGAAAATGATGGCGAACAGAACGATGACATCGAGTACATTCATCATCGTCATATTGGGCTCGGTGTTCATCGGATCACATGGAGGTACGTATACACCCAAGAAGGTTCATAATTAGGCAACTCTCTAGGCAATAAAATAATAATATTCAGGTGAAATGAATGTTTTGAAATCAACTTAAATTTTTTATGACGGTTAATGAAACCATGGATATTATCAGTTAGTAAAGCTATATAGAGATAGATCCCTCTCCTTGATCCATCTATCCGGCGTTAAATGTTGTCCTTTCCCAAATTAATCATCGTCCCTTTATATAAGTTTCTTTAGACGTGCCACAGACACACATTTCAGCAATTTAAAGGTGACTTTCATTGTCAATAACATTCCAAAACCAATCAATGTGCGCATACGTTTTGAAAGCACATGTCGATTATTTTAAGAGGAGAGACTTCTAGAAAGGTGTCTAATCATTTATACCGTCCATTGTCTCGTAAATCAGTATTCGTTTTCGTCATCAGAATCACACTTCCAGTGCGGATTATGTAAATATGAATATTTTGAGCGAATGAACAAGTTTATGATCGACGTCTATCTATCTATTAAGTATCTTCTCCCGGTTCGGAGGTTGATTGCAACATCTCTCCATTTCACTCTATCTTCTGCCATTCTGGTGCACTCTTGTAGTTTTAGTCCACTCCAGTTCTTCACATTTTCTTCCCATTTGATTCTGGGTCTCCCTCTCGGTCTAGTTCCTTCCACTCTTCCCTCCAACACATCATCTATGATCGACGTAATGTACATTAAACTCTGTGATAGATGCATCGGAACGTCGGATATATGCTTGGTTTCACAACAGAAGCAAGGTCTATCATAAATATTTACTCTACATTGTGTTATGTTTTCCCCTGTCGTAAAATTCATATGTCAACTGTTACATCTCGGGCGGAGCATTAATCTTTCATCACATTATATTTCAACCCAAGAAAGGCTAGTAATGGCCTAGATGTAAAATGCGTTTGACTATATTATAAGGTTTTAACAGGGCGATCGCTGTAGCGGGGGTGAATGACCCCCCCCCCTCCCCAAATCCGTGCTAAAAAACATACCCCGCCGAGAAAAAAAACTGCCAACGGAGATGTAAAAATTATTTGACGAATGACATTATAACAAAGTCACAAAGAGAAAGAGGGAGGAAAAAAGAGACTGGGAGACAGAGAGAGATGGACAGACAGAAACAGAGAGACGGAGAGTGAGAGATAAAGAGGGGGTAAGGGGACAAAACGAGGGTGAAATGGATAATATTAGCAACGTCTCCCATCTCAGGAGGAACATAATTTGCAAATACATTTTATGAAACGATCTTCTTCTCTTCATTACATGTTTAACAAACTGCCGCCTGCATGAGCACGACGGGATATCCAAAAACATCTCATCAATTAGCAAGGCCTTGGTATCATTTCAAAGATACGGTGTCTGTTTTTTGGGCACGAGATATCGTGATGACATTGTGCCATATTAAAGTATCTTCTACCGGAGCTAATTGACGTTAATGACCGGTGAAGGTATGTCGAATATACTGTATAAGAGGGTATATGCATAGGCCTATAGGCTATATACAGCTCTATAAGATTAAGTTCAGCCTCAGGCGGAATGACAGTGTCACCCATTATAACTAATTAATCCTTTTGAAATTATTTTAATTTCATCATTAAGCACTGTATTTCATTTGCTACAACTATGATGACTATCAGTGATCGTTTGTTATTTTGCCTGACTGATGCATGGAAGGATGGTGTGGTACCAGGCGCGGATCCAGGGGGGGGGCCGAGCGGGCCTTGGCCCCCCCCCCCGCAAAAAAAAAAAAAAAAAAAGAGAGAAGAAAGGAAAAGAAGGGAAAGGGAAAGAGGAGAGAAAGGGAAAGAAAGAAGAGGAAGAAGAAAAGAAAAGGGGGAAAAAGGAGATCGGGGGGGGGGGGGCGAAAGGGCCTTGCCTCCCAGGCTGTTGACCCCCCCCCCCCCCCCCCTCCCCCCAATCAAAAAAATAAGAGAGAAGGAAGGAAAGGGAAAGAAAAAAGGAAAAGAGGAGATACTGGCGTACCGATGGGGGGGGGGGGGGCTTGGGGGAAATCAAATTCAAACGTGGTTTATTTCTAATTCCACAACGGTGGATTACAAATAATGCTGATATGAAATAATTTCCGAGATTTTTCCTCACTTTTTAGTAAATTATACGTTTGTATGTGTTTGTTGGAAAATGACAAATTCCTAAATTTACAGCCAGGCAAGAAATATGATTCTTGAGATTCCTACATGTCAGTGCCCGAGGTACGGCGGGGATCGGGAGCCTCGAGCTCCCCCCCCCCCCCCCCACCCTCACTTTTTTGAAAAAGTATATTAAAGAGAAATAATATAGAATGAGAGCAAGAATGAAAGAATAGTTAACTGCCAGTGTTAAAAAATAATGAGGCATCAAAATATGCCCATCTGACCGTGAATAATGCCTAAAACCCCTAAGCCTCCGGGGGCTCTGCCCCCTGGATTCCACCTAGGGCCCTACGGCGGGCCCTTAGATGATCATCTGACGGTAATTTAATGCCTCAAACCCCTGATTTTTGGCGGCTCCGCCCCCTGGACCCCACGCCAAATAGTGACCTGCCAGTGTCACAAAATAATAAGGTATACAAAAAAAATGCTCATCTGACCTTAATTAAACGCCTAAAACCCCTGAGCTTCCAGTGCCGGCTCCGCCGCCTCGACCCCACCAGGGGCCCTAAGACGGGCCCCTGAATGCTTATCTGACCGCTTGCGGGGTTAGACAAGGTATCAAAATGTGTTTATCTGACCGCAGACGCGTAGCCAGGGGGGGGGGGGGGAGGGAGAATTCAGACGAGGATTCAGAGGCGAGAACGGTAATACGAATCTTAAATGGCTTAATGAAACGTAAAAGCTTCCGCGCTTCGCGCAAGAGGGGGAGGGGGGAGACTGAATTTAGACAAGGATTAAGAGTCGAGAACGGTACAACGAATCGTCTTCTTTCTCTAATGATTTAATGAAAATTAAAAGCTTCCGCGCTTCGCGCGAGAGGGGGGAACCTGAATCTAGACGAGGATTAAGAGTCGAGAACTGAACAATGAATCGTCTTCTTTCTTTAATAGTTTAATGAAGCGTCAAAGCTTCCGCGCTTCGCGCAAGAGGGGGAGGGGGGAGACTGAATTAAGACAAGGATTAAGAGTCGAGAACGGTACAACGAATCGTCTTCTTTCTCTAATGATTTAATGAATCGTAAAAGCTTCCACGCTTCGCGCAGAAGGGGGAAAACTGAATTCAGACGAGGATTAAGAGTCGAGAACTGTACAACGAATCGTCTTGTTTTTCTAATGATTTAATGAAACTTAAAAGCTTCCGCGCTTCGCGCGGAAGGAGGGGGGGAGGGAGAATCTAAATTCAGATGAGGATTATTTTCGAAAACGGTACAACGAATTGTCTTCTTTCTCTAATGATTTAAGGAAATTTAAAAGCTTCCGCGCTTCGCGCGGGAGGGGGGGGGGGAGGGGAAACCCAAATTCAGACGAGGATTAAGAGGCGAGAACGGTAATACGAATCTTTAATGGCTTAATGAAACGTAAAAGCTTCCGCGCTTCGCGCGGGATGGAGGGGGAACTAAATTCCGATGAGAATTATTTTCGAGAACGGTACAACGAATCGTCTTCTTTCTCTAATGATTTAAGGAAATTTAAAAGCTTCCACGCTTCGCGCGGGAAGGGGGGGGGAACCTAAATTTAGACGAGGATTAAGAGGCGAGAACGGTAATACGAATCTTTAATGGCTTAATGAAACGTAAAAGCTTCCGCGCTTCGCGCAAGAGGGGGAGGGGGGAGACTGAATTTAGACAAGGATTAAGAGTCGAGAACGGTACAACGAATCGTCTTCTTTCTCTAATGATTTAATGAATCGTAAAAGCTTCCACGCTTCACGAGGAAGGGGGAAAACTGAATTCAGACGAGGATTAAGAGTCGAGAACTCGACAACGAATCGTCTTCTTTCTCTAATAGTTTAATAAATCGTAAATTTTTTCCGCGCTCCGCGCGGGAGGGGAAAAATTAAATTCAGACGAGAATTATTTTCGAGAATGGTACAACGAATCGTCTTCTTTCTCTAATAATTTAATAAAACGTCAAAGCTTCCGCGTTTCGCCCCTCCCTGCACCGACCCCCCCCCCGCATTACGTCACTGTTGGTCACTATTACGTACCAATATTTGGCTCGCATAATTTCAAATTTGGGCCCCCCCCCCCTAAGAAATCCTGGATCCGCGCCTGTGTGGTACAGCATAATTATGTCTACACTGGGATGGGCAGGGAGAGTTGCTTCACAATAATTGAAGTGTGTTTCTATATATATGGAGCCCCCCCCCCTCCCCAATCATGAAGAGTGTTCCACGCCCCCATGCCAATATTATAGATTTTCTTACCATTTGGTATTTGAAAATGAAAGGGGATTAACAAAAAGTTTAGCCTCAATATTTATTGGGCACGCATATTACGAGAGGAATACGGGGGGGGGGGGGGGGGGGAATCATAATTTTAGTGGGCGAGTCCAAATGTCAATAAGTATGAGTGAAAGATCATATTCCATCCTCATATACCATTATTTAGGGGGAGGGGTCCTCTGTCTCTGTTTCTTTTTGTTTCACCTCCTTCTCTCTCCTTCTCCCTCTCTTCCTGTATGCTGGCTGTCTGTCTCAATCTCTTTTCTCCGCCTGCCTCATCCCCCCTCCAATCCTCCATCTCTCTCTCTCTCTCTCTCTCTCTCTCTCTCTCTCTCTCTGATAGACAATCTAAAGTAGGAGTGGTATAATCAGCGTGAACTTGGATGGTGACTGAAAGTGGAGATTGTTTTGTCGGGAGCACCAATTGAACTCATGCATCATACGTGATTAACCCTTTGACCCCGACTAACATGAAAATCACATGCCTATTGTCTAGCAATCCACTGACAAAATGAATGGAGACAATTCTATGAAATGGCATCCAACCTTAGATATCTATAGGCATTATATTTATCATGTATGTACCTTTTTTGGTGGTG